AAGCTTCTGGACCAACCATAATGAAGAGTAGGCATTTTTATACCCAGCTGTAACTCTGCCCCACCCCCCTGGTGCATCTGTTCGCTCCCTGCTCGTCTGGCAGAGCCGCGCGAGTGGGCAGATGTCACATATTGGGATATTATTTGTATAAACAATGGGCAGATTGTTTGTTTGCACTGAATTGGTCGCAGCTGTGTAAGCACTGGGATATGTTTCACATGGTGGGGCTGGAGAGAGCGAAGGAATCCACCTTAAGGATACAGGTGTTGGAGGATGAACTGAAGTATATGGCCCTCCAGTTCTGGCTTTGCTGAAAAAGCCAGTAGCCGAGGGTAAATAAACATGGGTCCAGAGGGCAACAGAGCATAGCAAAACACAGGCTATTGTGGTCAGGTATCTCTTCACTTGGGGCTTTCTTGCAGTTTTACTGCAATAGGCAGCTTACGAAACATAATATGACCACTTGTTTCTGTTTTAGCCCAACACGCTTCCCGAACATGGGCCTTTACTGCTGAAGTCAGAGCAGCCGAGTTTCCTTCATGTGGTGAACGGGGACTCAAACATGGTATGACATCATCAGAGAGAGACCTGAGACCACAGAGGAGGTGTCAGCTGCAGATGTGAGGAACACCAGGATGGATCAAACCAGTCATTCATGAGCCTCCCCTGGGGAGCGAACCCAGTGTCACGGCTCTGTCCCTGGAATAGCAGTGAGAGATGGGCTGGGCCTCGTGCTCGCCACATGGAAAGCCCCACACACAGTTCTCTGATTGAGTAGAAATGGTTCATGAGCATTATGCTAAATGAGTAGTTCAACATTCTAGGAAAAGAAGCGTTTCCCAAACTTTTCTTCTTTGTGAGTTAGATGAGGCTTCAGATGGTTATTTTAGCTTAACATACTAAAGACTGCAGGTAGAATCAATTAGCCTGACTCTGTCTGAATGCATATCCTCCTACCAGCATCTATAAAGCAAACAAAGTTATATTTTGTTTCTTTAATCAATAATTAAAACCAAGTGCGCTGTCACCATGAGGTTCACACAGCAAGAAATAGTCAAACAGATAAGATATGAAACACAGCCTGCGGTTTCTTTGCTTATTTTTGTTTTTACAACCGAATGTAGTGTTAATAAGTGAGCTTTAGAGGTCCTAGTAGGAAGATTTGGTTACCTTCAAATAGAAACAGGTTAGCTGTGAGTCTTTATGCTAAGCTATGCTAATGTGCTGCTGGCTGTATGTAGCTCTATATATCGGACAGACACAAGAATGAAATTGATGTTCTCGTCTAGTTCACCTCAAGAAAGTGAATACACTTATATCCCAAAATGTCAAACTATTGCCTTAAGTATGATTAAGGCATACTTAAGGCAAGTATTTTAAGTAAAATTGAAGGCAGTGTGAAAAGCTAAGCTGGCAGTAAAAAAACATGTAAAACCAAAGTCACGTAAAGCTGAGTGACAAACAAATAGTTTATTGTCTATTCAATCCATGTAAAGAAGTGTAAAATGACTGGACTGTTGTCTCAGAGCCAGGAACAGTGACTGCATCCTTAAGTCTTGTCATCAGATCTGGTGCCACCGTGCTCATACAAAGACCAAAAAAAACCCTGAGCTCATCAGCTGTATCTGAATACAATCTACGCTGTATTCAGACATGCTGCAAAGAAATGCTCTGTGAATAGTTTTGTTCTTTGTCAAGAAATAGTTCACATCCTCCCTTAAATTACGAATTGTCCTTTTTTTTCTGCCGTGTGGCAAAAGCTAGGTTAGCTGTTTCTACCTGTTTTCAGCTAAACTAAACACATCCTGACTCCAGCGCCACAACACACAAACATGAGCGAACTGGGAAAGTAAGCTTACGCCTGTAAATAGGGCTCACATCCATGCAAAGACAGAGCGAGAGAGAGGTAGAGAGGTCAAACACAATATGCAAATAGTTAAGCAGTGAGAGAGAACAATTGTCACTGATGACTTTACCTGGAATGTAACATGAGACTCAATCAAAGTACAATACGTCACTGCAATCTGTGAAAACCCTTGTTTCCCCTGTTTTGTTGACATCACTTGAGTTAAATCAGCAGAGCAAAAATGCTCTCCACCTGCATTTACACACTCGACGCATTGTGCTGAATGAGTTGTCCTTTGTTTAATTAGTATTTCCCAAGGACAGGGAGATTTCCCGTTATTGCTTAATCGGGGCAGATTGTCATCCCACAGAGATGAATGGTGAGCATTGTGCTTGAAGTGATCAGTGCCAGCACCCAGAAGTTTGACACCTCCCTGTGAAATTTTGTTTACATAAGAGCTTGGTTTTGATCCGATGCTCATTTCAGAAGTATGCCATCGCTTTCATCTGACAAAATAAAACACATCGCCTCTGTGTGCGCTGCCTCGTTCCTTTACCCTTTTTTATCTTTGATGGCTCACTCATGAGTTTGTTAACTAGGGATGTCTGTCAAGGGTATTTGGCAGCGATGTTAGAATAACAATGACGGATACGCCAGTTACTCAGGCAGAGAAAAGCTTATTGTAACTTTTAGATCGTGAGGCGAGATAGCAGATTTTAAGACAGCGGGATAAACAAATAAGTTCTGGGGTTTTATTGCCCATTAAATGTTATCATTACACACACTGTACTTTATGAATATCATTCCAATTAGATCACAACTTGAGTTATGCAAATAAAGTACACAAAAAATGAATGACGTAATGAAAACCGAGTGTGTGTAATCAGCGTTTTCATGAATCTTAGCGTGTGTGCATGATGTTGAGGTAAAGGTTTTCTGTAGTTTCCAGTGTTTGGAAGTGTACAGTAGCATGGGAATGTATGACAGTGGAAATGCTGATTCATTCTTGTGGTATGACAACACCAAATGTTGTTGGTTTGGATGCCATTGTGTGGGCGAGTACGCTGTTACTCCAAACCTCTCACACCCCAAGATTCGCCCCTAAATAAGGGTGTGTGAATGTGTGTACATGTGTGGACATGTGCACATGTGTTTGCATGTGTAATAGCTGCGAGGTGGCATGTGGGGACATGATTGTGTGTGTGTGTGTGTGTGTGTGTGTTTCTGTTTTTGCATAGATGCTGTTGTTGTTGCTGTTGTTTCTCTGGAGTCCACTCACACACTCACACACACACACACACACACACACACACTGGTCTTCCTTGAGTTAGGGCACATGCCTGTGGCCTGTGTTAGTCTGTGGTTGGAGTAATGATGACAGACTCACACACACACAGAGATTCCAGGACCCCCACAAACATGACTTGGCTGAGCCTGCATGGTATATTGTACTGCTGACAATGCTCCCATTACTCTTAATTACTCTGAAGAATGGACAGTAAATTGTTTAAATGGAGTGTGTCTCTGTATGTCTGCCTGACCTTCCCGTCAATATATCTGTCCTTAACAGTAGTGGAATAAATATTCAGAAGTAAAAGTAACAAAACCACAATGTAAATACACTCTATTACAGGTTAAAGTCCTGCATTCAAAATGCAAGTAACTTCAGGGAGATTTGTAAATCAGCAAAATTGTTTTTATTAGATATCATACCCATTATGCATTGTGTATATTATAATATTGTGTTAATATTACTGATTTGAACATGTAAATGGATAATTTTAACTATTATATACACTATTTTTAGTAGTTCAATGCACTGGTAATAGGTTTTTTTTTTATCTTTATCTACATAGTAACATATAACAGCAGCTGTTAAATAAATGTAGTGGAGTAAAAAGTGCAATGTTTTACTTTGAAATGTAGTAAAGTCAAAGTATAAAGTAGCATAGAATGCAACACTCAAGTAAAGTATAAGTACGTGAGTATAGCACTTGAGTAAATGACCTGACATGTTTCACCACAGATCCTCAATGACAGTCTGAGTAAACCTCACCTTAAACTGCAAATGAATGTCTATGGATGTAAACAGAACAGATGAAGAGGTTATCTGGCTCGGTCAGATATCAAGAGTGTCTTGTGCTCCCTTTTGATCTGACATGAGAATCAGGCAGAAAGTACAGTAATTTCCTCGCCATCTTCTAATCTAAACAGGTCTAATTACAGGCACTAAGGTGTATTTGGGTGGATTCATAGCCTACACATTAGAGCACATCCATTGCACAACAGCCAGGAAATGGGGTGTGCTGTACAATCGGACAGAACCAAGATCCTTCTTTTTTTGAGTTGCATCACAGAAACTTAAAGTGCTGCGGTGCACCTCATTTCATGAATCCTTGTGTAGATTGAGTAAGATGAAGTAATTAGAGGCTTTAGTTTGGATAGCTAGCTATCTGCTCTGCTGCACATGAAGGCAGGGAAGGTATAATTAGAAACTAGCCAGCAACACCAAAGGGTTAGGTGGCAAACACTCGCTAGGACACACATACTTTGTTATTACCTCTTTGCCGTTATCATTTGATATGGCAGCATCCTGTCCTGTTTTTAATGTTCGTCTGATGACATAGCCGCGATGGGCCATCCTCTGGCAGGATGTGGCCTGTTGAGGCTCCAGTAATGACTCATTAAAGTTGTATGTTTGTTGTAAGTATGCCTCCGGTGAGTATGTGTGCATGCACATATTTCAGCAATTGTGTGTAATGAGTATGAGAAGCATATCTGGGCCAAACATTTAAACCATCCACTCAGCCTTAACCACTGATTTGTGAGGACTGGGCTACAAGTTAAACACCACAAGTGATTGTTCAAATAACTCTTGCTTTCCAGTAGGGGATGGTTGTTATTTAGCCAGAAACGTTTCCCACCCGTATCAACCGTTAAGTGAATATTTGGACTAAATGGTCTAGACTCTAATTGATGCTGGAGAGTTCATATTCCATACATCTTGAGTGAAACGGCACTGAAACAATTTGCCAAAAGACACAGTAGATCCAAAAACACTACCGCCAAGAATGAGGGGCAGAAAGAAGGAGTGAGGTTATGACATGATGTTTAATAAAACAAATATATTCAGATTTTCTATATATAACATTTTCTTATAAAACAATATATATATAACACATTTACAATGCATGCAGCACCATGTCATTATAATACTGGTGTTGACAGAATTCAATAGCTCAATTAAGTGCCACCTCCAGGATAATATTTACAATACAGTAATTTACTGCAATAACTGAGGCTTGAAGTTCCATAAAAAGAGAAACAAAACAGCTCTGCCATTACCGATGACATGAATCGATCTTCCCAAGACTCCTGAAATGTCACTTCCTAACTTCCGTCTCCTCATCTGTTGATGGGGAATTGGATCAGTCCGTCTTGCACTGTTGCATCCCTCTGGGTGTATCACTTTTCCAGAAATCATGTCTATCCTTCCGGGTGCTGTTTGTGTCAGCAACTTTGGCAGGAAAGAATGTCTTAGGTGTTGGGTGTCTCTGTGTGTGTCAGCATCTCAGGTGTATGCAAGGCTGAAAAAGTGTTTGTCAGTGTCTGTGACTGATTTTTTTTGGTTTGCTGGGTGTGTGTCGTGTGTGTGTGTGTGTGTGTGTGTGTATTTCTGTCTTTCTGTGTGTGTCCACACGTTTGTGTCAGCGTCTCTGACAGGTGTGTAGGTTCCGGGCTGCAGTCCTGCTGACACTGTGGTCTCGCTCTCCTTTCTCTGGTCGGCAGGCCATGCCATCGCCGCAGTCACAGCGCTGGAACAGCTCCAAGCCGTGGGTGCCTTTCCTGCGGTGGCGTGTACACACCTGGCCCTCTGTCAGCACAGGCTTACAGATGCGAGACCAGAAGTGTCTGGCACAGCACAGACCCTCAGAGCAGTCTGCAGACCTCAGGCAAGTATCCCCCTCCTGGCCTGGAGATAGAGGGAAGAAAGATGAAAAGATGTTACATGAAGCAGACCACACTGAAAACTGTCTGTGTTGTTACTCGAACCGAATAAAGATTGATGATTCTGAACAGGACGCTCACCTTTCACAGTATTAGGCTGATGAGTGTTGCCAGTGGGCGCCTTCTTGGCATGATGCTCCATGGTGTTGTTGTGTTTTTGCACGCCAGTGATGATGGATGCATCTGTGCCATCTATGTCATTTGCCTGGCAAACACCTAGAAAGATGAAAAGAAAGAAATGCATTTATGGTCTGTTTTTTACCACTACCATGGACATCATCCTCCCCTGCGCAAATTGTAATTAATGGACATTCAGAGAGGTCCGTATGAGTACAAGAGAACGATCCGCAGCAATCAGAATATCATCATCGACTTCCTAAATCATGAATGTCAGTATTTATTTCAGATTGGAAGCTTCTGCTCACCATTGCTGCATCGGTTTCCTGCGCAACACATTGAGTCCCGTGCGCAACGCTTCCGGCTCTTACGGCAGGGAAGACAGGCGCCTCGGGCGTCGTTGCAGAATTCATCCACTCCACAGTCTTCATCATCCGTGCAGACACCTGACTGCTATAGTTTGATTAAAAAAAAAAGCAAAACAAAAGCAGCGTGTCATTGAAGTATTGAGATATTACGTATGAAACTTACATGAAGGAAACTCGTCGTGACGCACAGAAAGGACTTTTACGCACGAGGATTACCTGCAAGGTGTCAACGGGTAATTTGTGTCCCACGCTACCGGAGGGAGAAGTGTGCGGACTCGGACTGACAGTGTCGGCGCCTTTGCTACCCGAAGCACCGGGTAAGTTTTTGATGGCGTTGGAGTTCATCAGGACTGTCCCCGCGTAAACGTCCCCAAGGTATCCAAACAGCGTGAGATACACAGCCAAGAAGCGGCGCGCTGACGGAATCTGCATGACTCTCCTCTCAAACTCTGCTGTGTTGCAAACAAAGCGGAAAAGAAAGTCCCTTCTCTTTGGCTGAGAGAAAAAGAAACGACTGAAGTCCAAAGCGGCCTTGAATCCTGAATCCCAAAGTTTCCAGAGTATCGGCACGATGCTTTCGAAGCCTCCTGACTCACAGATCCTGGGATGATCTCTTTATACATGTGGACCTGTTTGTCTTCCCGCCCCTCGCTGTGCACAACAAAGGCGGAGGGGTGGAATTTCAAAGAGAGCCCCACTGTACGGAAATGGCCATCTATTCTCTCTGCACAGGACTGCGTTTCACAATGTTTGTGTAATGATAATGACCTGCAAAGTCTGTCTGAATGCCCATCACTCACTGACGCAAATAAAGTAGATCCACACTGAGGACTCACTGAACCTAGTTAGTATAACACCACATTTGAAATAACAAGAAAGGAGGGATTTTATTTGTTTCTCTTATACATTTGTTTTTTTTCTTAGAACAAATGTCATTTTGTCAAGGTCCACCGACTTAAGAACATTTGTGGAAAACAAATGTGATACTGTCATCACATTGGCAGAACTCTTGGGGTGTTTTTGATGATCGTTTTTTAGATAAAAACACTTTTAATAAGACAAACTTACTTGTTAAACAGCCATTTGTTTCATGTTTAACTCATCACTTATTCTAATGATCACAATTACTTGTTTTTTCCAAATGTACTGATGCACTTTTAATATTTTTAATATTTTAATTACTTTCACACTGATATAGGTGTAATTAATCTAAACTAGTAAATGTATATATGCTACAGAACATTCCTTACAGTGTGGGATTTTGTGTTTCTCTCTTCATAAACTCCGTTAGGCTTCTTTGTAAAAAAAAAAAAAAAAGGAAGAAAAAAAAGAAAAGCTGTTTGGTTATTCCAGTTTCTTTGACATTCAAGTAGCCTAACTGCCCTTTGGCTGTGTGAAGACGGTGATTGAAGTTACTTGCGTCGATTAAGTACTTCATTTGATCCTTCTGATTGCAAAGGGGGCAATTATGCTCCAAAGTGTGCTTGATTACACCAGTGGCGGACATCAATGTGTAGGATATGCAGACCATTAAGGGGTGTGAAAAGTTTACCGAATTAATGGACTTCCGCAGCGAGGCCTTTCAGGACTGACTGGCACTTTGAGATTAAAGGCAACTCTGATCTGTCTCTGGTCTCTGACCCTTTGCCCCCCCTGCAAGAAATATCCACCCTAAGGCAAAAGAAATACCCTGAAATATTCAAATTAAGCCTTTTTCCCCTTTTTTTCAGACTAAAGTTTTTAAAAGTTAGTAAATATATTGAATTAAAGCAGTGACATGTTCTATCAATTAAGTGGCTCCTGGAAGTGAGAGACAAGTGAAACTGGATTTTGTTAGTTTCCCATATGCCCAGAAAAACTCACAGGTGCTTTAGTGCGTGATGGAAACGTGCCCAGAAAATAGTTTGGCACTTGGACGTCATCTGCTGGTCATGTAGTCTATGTGTGTGTGTGTGT